CAAAAATCCCTGTAATCCATCACATCAGGGTCCTTGAACTATGTAGGATTTAGTAATACCCTAAAGTTCACAACAGTCAAAATGCACACAAAAAGAAATCCTGTAGCAAACTCCTGATATCCAAGACTAAACCTAGCACTCATCAATAACCCATGCATTACATAAAAAAACCTACACACTACAAAACCATATCTAAATTTGAGGACAGCCTTCTGCAAACTCAAAACTCAGCTCAAAAACTTGTCTTTAAATACTGTGTGTACCAAATCACCTTTGGAGTTAGGATGATAAATCAAAGCCTGTGAGCTCCCAGCCTGCAGATCAGCAGGCTCCTGCACACAAGGCCAGGCTCACCCTCGCACAGCAGGAGCTGAGCAGACCCACAGGAAGGATCCTCAAAGTTTAGAAAGAAATTAGTACTAAAGCCCACTCAACTTGAAGTAACCACTGGAGCGGAGAATGATTACTCAAGGCAAATGAACTCACATAGGAGTACTTGGGAAATTAAAATAATAGTGCTGGGGGAGCTGGGGGAAGTCTTAAATAATTATTAGAAATTTCCAAACATGCCATATATATGTTACTTAAGTCCCTGCAAGTTTTTATCTAGTCTAAAAGTCTAATCTAAATGTTGTGTTCAGCCACGTCCAAGGACAGAATCTTTTGTTTAATCTTATACATAAAGTTATATTTAGCTTTGTTACTGGAGTTTTTTCTTTAGAGGACCCTGAATATTAAGAGCAAAAAGAAACACTACAGAAGCATTTTATGTAAAAAAGTAATTTAAAAAAAGCTTTTAAGAAAATGAAAATGCGTCAAAACCAGTATTATATCTGTATAAGAGTAACATATATGTATATATAAGTAACATATCTGTAGAAGAGAATTTGTATCACCAAGCTAAAAAGGCAATCCCAACTTTATTGGAAACGTCACACAGTTTTTATGTACTGAGAGCTGACTTCAAAGAAGCCCTTGTCAGTGGAATGAGCACATATTACTCCTCTGTGAAATCCTACAAGAACACAGATGGCAGTGAGACCATGATCTTAATTGATTTAAGGGTCAAGTTTATATCTTTAAAGAAGCATTTTAGAACAGCAAAAAGCAAATCCTTCATACAACCCTTAAGCATGTGGATTATACTTGGGTTTAGAGCATTAGCACCACGTATTTGTACCAAAAGAGATGCAGGTGAAAAAGGGAACACGCACAACACAGTATCACAAAAAAGGAAAAGCTGATTGTCATTTCTTTCCTGACACAAGAGTTATAATAAAGGCTTGAGTTGAGATAAAACTGTACAGTTCCTCTCAAAAGGAACATGACCCATTTGTCTCTGAAACCAAAATAAGAGGCAATCTAGAAGATTTGGGGTAAAATCTGCTGAGAAGAAACTAAAATATGATGCCACCCCTAGGAATGCCATGATTGCAATTACACAGATGGGGGTTTAATGTATGTGTTGATATAAGTGAAGTACCTTCACTGTTTAAAAACAAAAACAAAAAAAAGAACTGCTACAGGGTGTCATTTGTACCCAGTCATTTTTCAAAGGCCAGAGTTACACCGATCACAGGCTTTTCGTCACTGGGCTTGTTCCTTGGCTCTTGTTACATATACTTTGATTAGAGAGTTTTTAATTACACTTTAGCCTGTTAGCACCATGGGGCCAATAAAACTAAGAGAAATAGAACTAAATTCTTTTCATTCAACACAACTGGTAACTAAACACCAATTAATTACACCCACACAAGCCTAATGAAGATAATGGGGTTGCAGAGAGTTCACGGATGGTATGAAGTGGCTTGTGGTATCCTAACCTTAATCAGTTAACTACTTTGTAATAGGGAGGATCACAGGATAAGCCACCCTCTTTCTACATGCTTACAATTACTATTACTGTTAATGGAAATTACATGGCCATACAGATAATTCATGTAACATTCGCTTGATCAGGAAACAAAAATGATAAATACTTGAGGGACTCCCTAGCAGTATTTCCAAGAGTTTATTGAAAACAAGAGTGTAGTACCATTCTGTTTCACCTCATTGCTTCACTTAAGGCAAACCTAAAGAATTTCTTCTTTTCCAGGGAGGGGACATCCATAGCATCTCTGGGAAAGCTGTGCCAATGCCTCACCAGCCCCACAGTAAAGAATTTCTTCCTAATATTTAATCTTTGTCTGTTTCAGTTTGAGGCCATTGCCCTTTCTTCTATCACTAAATACCCTTGTAAAAAGTCTCTCCCCATCATTCTTGTAGGGGGCCTTTTTAGATACTGGCTCTAAAGTTCCCCTGGAGTCTTCTCTTCTCTAGGCTAAACAATGCCAACACCCTCAGCCTGTTCCTCAAAGCAGAGGTTCTCCAACCCTCTGAGGATCCCAGCTGCTTTCCTCATTCTAGCATTCTACATCCTCCTCATGCTATGCCTCCAGAAACGGCTGTAGTGCTCCAGAGGGGTCTCAAACAATGGACTGAGAGCCACAATCCCCTCCCCTGGCCTGCTGCTCCTCACCCCTTTCATGCAGCGCCCAAGGGTGGCTTTCTGGAATGGCAGCACAGATTGCTGACTCAGGCTCAGCTTCTCCTCCACCCACAGCCCAAGTGCTCCTGCTCAGCCCCTGCCTTCCCCAGCTCCCTGTCCCCTGCAAACACCATGCTCAGGGGGAGCTCCATCTGCTCCCTGTGCCACTGGCAAAGCCATTCAAGAGCCCTGGGGCCAAGGGCAGAGCCCTGAGGGACACCCTTCATCCCTGGCCTCCACCTGGACATGGAGCCAAGTGGTCCATCCATCAAATCCATCTCTCCAGTTTAGAGAAAAGGATGGCATGCTGGCAATGTCAAATGCTTTGCACAGGTACAGGTAGATGACATCAGTTACTCTTCCCTCAGGTACCAGCACTGTTACCCCTTTGTTCCCTTAACTTTTCTTTTGCAACTTGGGTGGCGTAGCTGCAGCACTTGCCAGTGAATGGTAGCACAATAGCCATTGAGTGTATCAGCCTTCCTCATAATCCTAGGCAACCAGTTCTCCAACTTCCTTCTTCCAGAGAAGTCTGACATTTTCCCATGTCTCCCTTTTATCTCCAACATGTTCCTTCACTGTCACTCTGAGTTTTTAAGATTTTCTAAGCCTTCTGATGTTTACATTCTTGTAGCAAACTTTCTCGCACACTTTCTGTAAATAACTTGTTGTTTTGCATTCTTTTATGGAGGAGGAGAAATTCGACGGACTATTGGTTTGTCCAGTGTAATTGGAGAGGTGGCACTTTCAGCCTCCAATCCACTGTTACTTTTGTAAAACTATAAATGTTGGAGTCAGAAAATAAACTTCCCTTTTCCTTCACCCTGAGAACAGCAGTGTGTGCCTGTGTTCTTTCGTGTCCTATAGTGACACTTCACATTTTGTTTAGAGCCTGTGAAAGGACAGAAGGTGGGAAACTGATAGAGAGAGGCACTTAAACATATCACAAGGCACAGCTCTCACATGGGGTGGTATTACACAGTGAATGACCATGCACAGAGACCGCCAGATCATCACCATTTACCTCCAGAAGTCTTTTCTTCCAGGAATATTTAATTAAACTGGAGCTTTCCGGGGCAAGCCTGTGCATGTGACAAATCTCTGGCACAATGTCACTACTGCCACCCAGGCCTCTGACTGCACAAGCCCCTCCTGAGGCAGTTGTGTGTCCAAAGGAGCAGCCACCCACCACACCAGCTCCTCCAGAAGAAAATCTAATGAGGCATTTGCTACCCACTCTCCTCAAGGAACAGGTAGTGTCAGTTTAGAAACTTTTTCAGAGGAAACAGCTTTAAAAATAAGAGGGTTTAAATCTCTGGAGAGGTACCATAGTGTTTCTAAGGGATGTGAAAGGAAAAGAAAATGATTCCTTGGGGATTTTTCTTCATTATCACCCCACCTGGAGAAGTGAGCACACAATGGGCAAAGGTCCACACATATTGATTTTAGAGCTGAGGAAGTGTGCAGCTAACAGCTTTTAAGTATCTCCATTTTCAGTTACTTCAACAAAATTACCAGTGAACAGTGTAAGAAAGTGAAAGTTTTTGTAGGAAATTGCGGGCTAAAAATGATCATTTAGGTCGCGAAATGTTTCCTTTCATTGAAAATGGAGGGCTTTCAAACGTAGGAGTTACTGCGGGCGTATTGCAGCATCGTCTCCACCAGACATTTCCCAAACCACAGCCTGTCCCTCTCTCAGAACCATAATATTACAGAGTTTTGCTGCTCCGAAGCTTTTAAAACCGAGGAGCGCTTGGTCGGGGCGTCCCGACTCCGGAGGCGGTGGCCGGGCTCCGAGGGAAGTGCGAGCACCACGCGGCTCTGAGGAACCAAAGCCAGACCGAACCAGCCCTACCCCAACCCTGGGTGCTCCCTGAGGGAGCAGAGCCTCGGGAGCAGAGCCTCGGGAACGTGGAGCCGGGCACAGCGCCCTGAGGTGCCGCTGTCCTGCCTTGGGGCTGGCGGGGAGCGGGGGAAGGGGCGGGCGCTCCCTGGCTCCGTTGCCCGGCAGCGGCCGCGGCACCGCGATGGAGGCGAGCGAGCGGCGGCGGCTGCGGCAGGAGGCGGCTGAGTATTACCGAGGGCTCCGGGTGCCGGAGCGGATGGAGGAAGTGCTGAACGCCCTGTTCCCGCTGCCCCCCCAGGATCTCTACGGGGAGCTGGTAGCGCGGGGCGGGGAAGCAGCAGGGCGGGAGCGGGACGGCCTCTCGGAGGGGCCGTGTGGGTGCCCGCCGTGCCCATGCCTTTGCCGTGCCCGTGCCTTTGCCGTGCCCGTGCCTTTGCCGTGCCCGTGCTCCCTCACAGCCCTTGCCCTCACCCAGGGCGTGCAGCGAGGAGCTCGGCGTCTCTGTGGTGGCAATTGAGTGGTTTGTCCCCTGGCCCGGGCGAGCATTGCCATGGTTCTGTGTTTGTGGCCCCTGGCAGCCGGTGCTGTGCATGTCCGCAGCAGCCCGGGTTCTTGTCTCGACACAAAATAAAGTAGTCCACAGATGGACTAATGTTTGTCCCTAACAAAGCTGCTGCTCAGCAGGGATGGCTCCTGGGCCAGCGGTGACAAGAGGCTGGGTGCTGTTCACACTGCAGCTGCTCGTGAAGGGCAAATGGACCCCCATGGAAGGGTCAAGAATCAGACCAAATTTATCTGTTCCCACTTGGCAAAATATTGTTGATGGTAGTCATAATGAAACTTCAATTAGTGGTGATACTGAAATCACCAATACTAGAATAGTGAGTAGCTCTTGAAAGAGAAAGATTTCTAGTATGGTCTTTGATGGGAGAGTGGCTGTGGGATGGAAATATTCAATCCCATCTTACACTGTTTCCCATCTCCAGGTGTTTTGCCATCATCAGTGGAAGGGACTGGAACTGGTAACACCTTATCTTGCTTTGGTAGTTGGCATATTCCTCTTCTTCACAGCCTTAAATGCTTCATGCTTTTCCCACTTGATAACCCATGGTTTGGTGCCTCTCCAATATTGGATTAAATAATGAAACTAGTAAGGAAGTACATAGTAAATATTACAGGTAAAAATGCAATCCTTTTTCTAAACCAACATTAGTGTTTATTAACTACGAACTCAGACACAAGTGTATTGAGTTATGATATTTCATCAGGCCCAATAAAGATCATGTTGGAAGAAGAATGAGGACTCTGTCTACCAGAAATCATGGTTTCCACTTTCTCACAGGGCTCAAAGCTTGCTGGAACATATAAATCATGGAATAATAGAATATGCTGGGTTGGAAGAGACCTGCAATGGATTTGTTTAGTGGTGGATTTGATTTTAAGGTATTTCATGGAATAAAAGCCTCTTTGCTTGGAAATAGACTTTTAATTGAATTATTTCTCTTTCATTTAAGGCTAACTACTTTTCTAAATTTTCAAAAGCTCCAGTAATATGCAAATTAGTTGGAAGAAAAGTTATTGATGGAGTTGGTGAGCCAACATTAGAAGTGGAAATATATTGTACAGTTAAAAACTATGAGAAGGTATGAGCTGTTTGTTCTTGTTTTATTTATTTTACTAGGACAGTATCTGAGAAAGTTACTATTCTTCTCACATCCCAATGTATGTTTTATTTTCCATCTTTATGACAAGACATAAATCCCAGTTGAGTGTTGTAACTTGGAGAAAAAGGTGTAATGAAAAGTTAGACAGTGACAGCAGCTATGAAAGCTTTATTTTTCAGGAATTAGACAATATTTTGTGAGTGGGACCTGATAGTGTATCTCTGTGTGTTAGTTTTTTTTTTTCTGTCTTAATGATCATGTAGGTTTTCCTTACACATCTACTAACCTTATACATTCACTTTTATTTCACCTTTTCCTTTAATTTTCAGATCTTTGTATTTCTCTTTGTGTGACACTTTTAGAAAAACACAGTACAGCTGAAAAACAGTATGGATAGAGGCACTTCTTTTACATTGAGCTAATAGGTTGATGTGGGTGACAGTAAAGTCAAACATACCCATTTAGCACCTGCAGTGCAGAATTGATGGCTCATCTCTTCCCCAACCTGAAATATTCAAACTACATCTTTGCAGCTCTAGCTGTTGTGGAGTAATTATTTTTACTTTCCCTCAGTTGAACTCTGGTTCACTTAATTCTTGAATTACATGTAACCTCATAGATATTCACAGGATGTAAAGTTAATACTGTTAATGCAGGCAACTGTGGGAAATTTGTAGATTGTGTCTCCCTTTAAGTGAATTTTCCTAATATCATTTGTTGTTCATCAGTACAGAAAGATAGGTTTGAATTATCTAAGTAGGACAAAAGTAATTGATCATGAGGGATGGCATTAAGCACGAATGCTGATGAATCATGGTACAACAGGCTACCAACAGCTGCAATAAAAGGTGTCCTAATGACTGTGTGGTCCTTAAAATAACTCCATTCTATTCTGATAGCATAAGGCAGATCTGTCAAGAGGAGTTTTGCCTATGTAGTTATAATTTTAGGTCAAAAAGCTTGAGTAATGTCTGCAATTACCAAAGTCTAAAAAGAAGGTGCTGGATGAGAATAGACAAGTGGAGCAAATAGATTTGGAGATATGTATTTGTAGAGTTGGTAAGGAGATACCTCTTAGTCTTTCAAAGGACATTTCCAAGATAGAAATTAAACAGTGTTTTAACCCTTTTATATTGTTTTGGTGTTTTATTTTTTTTTTCCCAGAGGATTTGTTCCAGTGTAATGGCTACTCACTCTCAAATACCTGAAAATGCTTTACCTGAAATAATTGAAGCTGATGAGAGAGAAAGAAATGAGTCTGTTTATACTGCTGTGGAATGGGTCTGTGACTCACTGAACACAATCTTAAGGGACTTGGACCCTACTGACCAGTGTCAAGCTGATAAGATGCTTGGGTAGGTCTTGCATATTATGAAAATTATTGCATGTGAATATTTGAAATATTCACCATTAATTTATATTGCAATGAAAGACATGAAGAATATTCAATGTTTTCTACTTTTTAAAAAATATTTTTAGGATATAAGGTCTGTCTCAGACCCATTTCACTACATTATTGCCTGCTTTTCATAATTATGATACAAAAAGCATGCTGGTTTGGGTTGCAAGACTGAACACAGGCTGTAGCAAGCAGACCTAATTGCCTTTCATGTGCATTTGGGAAAACCTTGATAAAGGGAATAAGGACTCAGTTGGAAAATGAGTCAAAATAAGATTTTAATGCATTGTTTACACTACTTTATGTATCTCACATACTCAGTTTGCCTGAATTGGCTTTCTGTGACCCTTGGGTGAAGATTTCACTTCATGCATGTAATTGAAATTCATTTCACCTCACTGTCTTAACCTAGGCCAGGCTGATGGATGCCATGAAGTCATGACAGGATCTGTTCCTACCCATGCAAAGGAAATAAATCCTTCATGCTCAGTCTGCTCAGAGCTGACTTTCAAACCACAGTGATTGACAAAGCTTGTCCTAAGGTTTGCAATCCTTGTGGTCCTTTTTTGTTTAATCAATGCTACAGATGGCTACCAAAAAAGAATGATATTATAAATTTATGGACTTCTCCAGCTTCACACAAGGAATCTATGGCAGTAGCTCAAATAAAAGCACTTTTCCTCCTAGCATGTTCTTTACCCTGCATCACATCTGTCTACATGTCACATGTCTAACAAAATTTTGACCCAGTCATTTTCATGCATCCTCCCTCAGTGAGTACTTTGCAGAGAAGGTAGAAGAAAGAAAGGAAATTGAAAGGCAAGAAAAAGAAATGAGAGAGGAAGAAGAATCAGCAAAAGTCACTACTTCCCCTGCTTCAGGCCATTCAGCCGCGACGCCTAAGCAAAAAAAGGGACGAAAATCAGGTTGTACTTTATTTGATTTTAATATTTTCTGCAACACAGATGTTGAAAAAGGTCCTAAAAGACACCCTGTCTCATGTTCAGAGGATTTGGTTACTCTCTCCTGACCTTTTTGATCACAGCAGTTTCTGCAGTAAAATGAGGGAGGGGAAAATACAGTTTCCTCATCATTCACATGCATTGGTTGAACAGTTTCTGCCTTTGTTTTACTGTTGGTTTAGACAGGAGGTTATTATTCTTCAGAGTGAGGAATAAGAATGGAGGAGGATGCAAATGAAGAATGAAAATGATAAGGAAAGAAAAGGAAATCACAGAACTGAGTAGTAAAAAGGAAATAGAATTAAGATAGAAGCTGAAAACAATTGAAAGAGGAAGGAAAGTTTCCTTCTAACACTGAGAAAAGGAGGAAATACAGAGAAAAGCAAAAGAGAAAGAGAGAAGAGGGTGAAACATGAATGAAGGGTAGTATAGAGTAAAAGGAAGTAAGCAAACATCCTACTAAAAGAAAAAGGAAAAAAATTATGTGAGACTAGAAAAACAAGGTAAAAATACACAGCCAAAATGAAACAACCCAAAGAAAAAACCACCACGTGTTACCTCCATCTGTACATTAAACTCAGACAAAAAAGGGTTGTTGTCATTTGTTGGAAGGACAGAAAAATTTGGCAAATTATAATTTCTTATCAGTTTACTTGCAAGTGTCATATACTGTCAGTAAAATACCTCCTACTTCATATGGGGAGGTATTTTACACTTCATATTGGATGTGTGCACAGTAAGTTCACCTTTCACCTGAGATTTAACTTCTGCAGTTGTCAGGTCCATCCAGATATCATCGTGGTGTATTTGATATTTGAGTCAAGCTCCTGCTGATACATCTATTCTGTGTTTTCACTAATTGTGGCATTGACTGTAATATTATTGTCAGACTCAGTGCATGACTATTTGGAGCCAATATCAAACAGTTCCCAAGGCAGTGATTCTTGGGAATCATCACTTATTGCAGCTTCAGAAGGTGCTCCCTCTAAGTGTTCATATAAGCAGTGTAGGCAATAAATATGGTAGTGGAAACTGCTTGGTTTAAAGCATTTTGGACAAAGTTATTGTATCTGAAAGGGAAATAAATTCTTATGAAAATTTAGTGTGTAATATGTTTTCTCTTTGGGAATTCCAATTGTAATAGGCCTGAATTTTTTCTCACAGTCATTACTAGATGAAGTCAAGTACTCTCAATCAGGTTATAATGTAATCTGCAATTTTAATGCAAAATCTGAGCATTTAAGGAACACAATAGAGAAGATTGAAAACAATACTTTTGAAAGGAACCTGAAAAACGATATAATGTTATTAGATTCAAACACAGATAAATAAAAATACATATTTAAGTGGCTGAAAGATCTCCAAAAGAAGCAGACTTGAAATGCATTTGAAACCAGAGTGAGGACAGGTACTCTTCTTATTTGTAAGGTCATTCCATATAAAACAGCTGACAAAATTAAGTTTTTTAAAAAATAAAATTATTGTTTTTTAGTGCATTGAGTACACAGTGAATATTTACTCACATAACTCTGATCCACGAGCATATATTTAGCACCAAGAAAATGTTTAGCTACTCTTTCTCTGTGTTGCAGGAAAGAAGGTGTCAGAGGACACTCCCATCCCGCCTGCAGAGCCTGCTGAGCCCGTGCTGTGTGGCAGCTTGGCCATTGGGGGAGCATCACTTGCCATAGCCAAGGCTGGGGCCACCATCAGCCGTGTCCCTTTGTACCTGTACACTGCACTGCTGAAACACAAGGTACATGGGGCTCTGGTCATTTGCTTTATTTCCTCCCAGTTATCAGAATTATTGCAGCTGTGACAGTGTTATTCAATCTGCCTCATAGAATACGCCCTTAACACCATTGCCCGTGTTTGAATCCTGTACCATAACTCAAATATATAAGAAATTATTCTGATTTTTACATTTTTATTTTCACCTGGCACTCTCAATTACAGGAGACACCTAAAGAAATTACTTTACCACTCCCAATGGTTACTGTGTTGTACTGTGAAAAGAATTCACCTACAAAACTGAAATTAGTCAAAGAAGTTATGCTTATACCACCAGTTGAGTTATTACTCCATCAGGTACTGTTTCCTTTTTTTAATAAGTGTATTCTATAGAAATCATACTAACTACATATGTACATAAGTATATAGGTCTTTTCACTATAGTCCTTACAAATGATAATTTTCATTTTTTCTTAGCTTAGAAGGCCAAAGTTTTAACAGATGTTAGTGCAGAATTCTAACACTAATAACATTACATTAAGTAAAAAGATGATTTAAAAGAAGAACCATTAAGATTTAAATTAAAAATGGATGTTTGTATAGAGGAGAAAATCAGTGCATTGAAGAAGATGTCAAGGAATTGTGTTACACAATAATAGATTTTGCATTAGTGGATTATAAATATTACCAGTTGTTTGATATAGAATACAAAACAACAAAACCCATAACAAATTCACAGGAAAGCAGGAAATATTTGGGAATAAGTTGCTTTAAAATGAAATTGTGACACTAGAGGGGTACACAAAGAGCAAGAAGGATGGGTGAGACAGATGGGATCAGCCCTCTCTCTTTTTGTTTAGCCATGTGTTGCCTTAAAGAATGCATCTGCACAAGATGCCTCCATTAGGGCTGTGATTTCTGCTTTGTGTGCTGCTGACCTGAACAAATAGCTGAGCTCGATTCTCTTTCTTTTTGCTTTTCCTTTGACTTTTCTGGATTGTCTTCCAGAGCAGGATGGCTCCCAGTGGCAGAGCAGGAAGGTGTTTGCTGCACTGCAGAACTCGAAGCTGTTTGCCCTGTGTTGGTGCCAGCTGTGACTGACTTCTGCCCCCTTCAGTATTCCTGTGCTGGCACTGTTTGGGAAAATCTGAAATGTCCTTTACAAAGTTCACACTCAGCATTTACTAGCTCAGCTGAAAAGGAAAAAGAGCCTTGCGTTAAAAACAATGAATCCATTTAATTGGAGTGTTTTAAATCCACACAGTGGTTTTTTTTATCCTGCTCCTTGGAAGTATTCTGAAGATAAATGCACTCAGTTCTTGTCAGAGTTTAGGAAGTCTCAGGCAGAGTCACAGTTGGGAGCAGGGATTATCACCTTCCCACTTCTCAGATAGAAATGCACACCCAGATGTTTTTTACTTGTTAGATATCTGAAGGGCTGCTTTTGGGGAGGAGAGTGCTTTCTTTGACATCCCATAATCAAATATTCCTGCTCATTCCACTGCTACTAACCCTTTATCGTTGGACATGGCTGCATTTTGTGGATGGAGACATTGTGTTAAGGAGTCTGTAATGGTCTGAACTTTTTTGAAGACTTTATATTAAAATTTGCATTTAGAATGAGTGTTGTCTCTCTTCTGATTTAAGCTGCTGAAATGAATTAATACAACTTTCTTTTGAAGATTACTGTTGTTTCATTTCAGGGCATAGAAATAGTTCTGGAAATTCAGAAAGAAATTACAAGAAAGATGGAGTCTCCAGGCAAAACGGTACAATAAAAAATGTGTTCTTACAGTGAGGTGTCCTTCATTTGATCTTTTACTACCCTTGTCCTTTCAAACATCCTCATGGAACACTTAGCCTGTTACAGGCCTGTGACACAGAATGGAGGATGTTTTTCTCTCACAGATGAATAAAACACTGCCCATTTGATGATACTAAATTAAAATTTAGAACAAGTCATTGTTCTAAGCATAAGGCTTTCTGTTTATCTGAAGAAATATACTGGGAGTGAGTGGTATCAGAGGGCATATAAAATATATATTCTGATCTTGCTACGCCTCTCACACAGAACATATTTTATTCCAGGTACTACTACTGTAACAGCAAATCAGACTCAGTGTGTGCATGTGCTTTTTGGAAAGCAGTGTTGTGTTTCTCCAAGTAGAGAGTCTAGATTCTCATTTTTGATGGACTGGATGAGAAAGTCTTGAAAAACAAATGATGGTTGGACAGATGCCCACCTAGAAATAAATATTTTAAATTAGTAACCACTGCAAAATAAAACTATTAAACTATTGAATAAAGCTATTTCCTAACTGAAATATTTGGTCTCTTTTGACCAAAATTCAGTCAATTCCTT